TGTGTTAACGTGAAGATGCCTGTCCTCCATTCAGGTGGCCGTGTCCAGCAGGCTACAGGCACCCGGAGGCAGCAAGGGGCCTAATGCTAGAAGTGAAGTTTCAGGGTCACTGACGTATGGATAGTATTTACATTTGTTATCTCACTTAAAGATCCCAACCCTGTGGATTTAGTGTTATTATTATCTTCACTTTAGAGGTCAGGTGACTGAGGCAGAGAGAGCCTAGGCCGCTGATGGAAGGCCTTACAATCCCTGAGTGAAGTCCAGCAGTAGGAGGGGCCAAGGACAATGTCTGGTACAATTAGCGATGAAGCTGTCGGCGATTGGGTGAAAGTGTCCGGGGAAGAAGGCGGGCAGAAATCAGACTAAGGGGACAGTGGCTGAGGGGACTTGAATCCATGAAATGCAGACCTGGTTTCTGTACCAACCTCTGGGGAGTTTGTTCCTAAGATACTGATGAACTTCGGGGATGCTGGCTGGATTCGGTTGCTGGATGTGCACAGCTGGACAGACTTGGGCTGGGTGGTCCTGCAGTGTTACTGCCTGGCTCTCTGATTCATCTCTCTATTGTCACTGCCAAGTCCTCAACTAAACACCTGCATCAATCTGAATGCACAGGGTTCCCCATGTGACACCTGCCTAGCGGTGTGTTTTAGCAGGTGTGTGCGGGTTGGCAAAGGGGGCCCTGATAGATGAAGCAGGGTCGGGGGGTGGGATCACAGAGGCACCGTTCCAACCAGCAAAGAGCCATGAATGAATTCCTAGAGCTAAGGAAGTGGTACCTCATAAAACGGCTGCTGACAAAGCAGCTGTGGGGTGTTCGATGCAGCTCTTAAGCTTCCTATCTGGAAAAGGCAGGGACAAATAGTCAGGTGGAAAATCTGTCCAAGGCAGCACATCCCTGGGCTTCACCTGTGGGGATTAGAATTGGGAGGGATAACTTCTGCTGGGAGAATGCATTCAGCCCAAGGTAACAACGCAAGGCAGGACCTGCAGCCTTGCTGGGTTATGAGTGACCCGAGGACAGCTTTGCTGGTGGTAGTAAATACTTCATAAATATTTTTTGAAAAATGAGGGGAAATGAAGTAGTTGTTGACATCAAAGAGGCTCAGCATCAAGATTCAAGCATAAGGGGCTGGTTATGTGTAAGTTCTGCTTTAACAGGTGTGTTTTTTTTTCCATCAATCTTAGCAAACAATAGCATGTAGTTAGCATTTAATACATACTTTAGAAATTACTGTAAGAAGGGCTTAAGGTATTAGAAAATCAAGTGCTATTAATAAAGAACGTCTGCCTAGATGTGCAGATCAGGTTCTGAGTGAGTCTTAGTTACCTCTGCTGGGGAGGAGCCAGGGTGAGGCCCCCACGCCCCCGCATCACCCCCGACCTGAGCAGGCATTTACCTGAGTACTTCCGGTGTAGTGTGGAGTGACTGACTTCTCTCTGGGATGGTCTGCTCATCCAGCGTAGGTCAGTGGGGGAAATGACGTGTGAACAGAAAGGTCTGGAAGCGACTCCTAAACCCCAGTGCAGCTATGTCCTTAGGGCATGAGAACTCAGGAGATGGAACTCAGGGAGTATTGTAGTCAAATTCCTGAAACCCACCTGTAATTAAGCCCAGTTTCTGTCCAGAATATCAAACACGTGCCCAGATTGAATCCCAGAGCTGGCAGAGAAGGAGAGGGGCCTGGAAGTCAGCTGCCGCTGCCTGCTGACCCGGATGATGGGGGATGTGATTCCCGTTCGCGCCGGGGCGGTGCCTGATCTCCACGCCCCAACTTACCGCTGTTGCTGCGTTTCCGTAGGTCGTATCCGCCTCCTGGCCTGTCAGCTTCTTCAGGAACCTCCACGAGATCTGAAGTCTTGGGGAAAAGAGGGAACAGCATGGAATGGGCAAAATCATTTCAGTGGCCAACTAAGCAGAGACTTTGATATCAGTAGAAGAACTAAGATGAAATTTGCATGACACTGTCTTAAGAATTGCATCGCTGCTCTCTGGAGGGCAGTTTTTGTGTGAAACTAGAGTGTACCTTGTCTTAGAAAGGGCTGAGAAAATGTGAGCAATGGCTGTATTCTTGAGCTGGGGTGCAGCCAGGAGAACGGGACACAGCTGGGACTTCCCTGCTTCTGCCCCTTGTTGGGCTCAAACCTTTCTCTGTGTTGGCAGCTCTGCTACCCAATGCTGGAGGGAGGGGAGGGGCAGAGTACACGGAGTCGGAGTCGAGGAGCAGGAGACCAAGAGCCTGGCCTCTGAGGAGGAAAGTAAAAGGATGTTTGGATGTTGGCAACAGGCAGTTAACCTTTAATGGTTCAAGGCACTTGGAGGTCCCTTTGGAGGCTGCCTGGCTCCCTACAGACTCCCGCCAGGATTCATTTAGGTAGAACCCACAGTCTGCCCAGCCCGGGGCCACAGCAGGTGAGCCGAGGGAGGAAGAGGACAATTACAGAGGTTCTGTGAGGCGAATCAGAGCCACTGCCGGAGCTGCCCTTCTTTGTCCTCTGGGCCAGGGAGGTGCCGAAGCGGAGGGTCTCGTACACAGGGTCCACCTTATTGCCACAGGCTGCAACGGAAGAGAAGGCTCATCTGAGAAGGGTTTCCTCAAGTCACTGTCAGGGATACCGCCAACCACCTGTCACACATCCTGGGTTAACAGCACCGGGAAGTAGCTTCTGCACGACAGACACACTAACCCCTGGGAAAACGGGGCTTTTTTGGTCAAACTTTCCTCGCAGATGTGCCCCCCCCCCCCACGGCGTGTGCCCATTTCCAGGCCTCTCCCCTGCACTGTCTGCTCTCAGACGCTTCCTAATTTATTGGTTTTTTCTTTTGTTACCCATCCCCAGGATGCCAAGGTCAAGGTTCTTCCCAGAGACCAGCTTTATTTCCTCTAGCGAAAGGCTCTGCTTACCAAGGTAGGAAGTCTTGCGACACAAAGTCTGCAGTAGGAGGTAAGTGTTTGGAAAGAATCTGACGTTACCAGCCTTCCTGAATTTCTAATGAAAAACCATCTGGTTTATATATTTCTAGGTTAAAACTTGCTTCCCCTGCCCCCACCCAAAGCACACATAAACGCAGAGATTTTCAGAAAGAGAGAAATAATATAAGTAAACTGCAAGTTATTGTTAAAAAATACATTAAGCCAGAAAGATCTATAAAATATAAGACATTTTTTGTCCTCATTAAAGAATAACTGATACACTGAGTCCCTTCCAAGCATTGGTCTATAATGCGTATATATATTTTACAAAAATTATGAAAAGCAACCATGGCTGTTTTCATTTCATAGGGCCCAATGGGTTGAGTAGCTTGTTCAGACACAGAGTTGGCCAGTGGGGAGGCTGGGCTTTGACCCAGGTCTGGGTTGCTGTCCTCCAAGCTCTTCTCTCCCCACCAGGCTGCTGACGGCTGGCAGAGTCTGTCTGTAGCCTTTGGGGCTTGAGTGCCTTTCAGGCTTCACCAGGGGGAGGACGAAAGTTCCTGGAGAACCTGGTCCACTTTATGCTGTCCCTCCAGCAAAAACACACGACCATAACTCAGTTCGCCACCAAACCAATGCACACACACAGCCCTCGCTGGTATTGTGGCCCTGGGACCTGGGAGAGGAGCAGCCACCAGTGCTGATGTTGCTGCCCCCAACCAACTCAACCCATCCATGTCCCAACTCACCAATGGGCATAACTTCTTTAATGCATCCAAACTGTTCATGAATGAGCAAGGGGGAGCTGTAGTAACGCCGAAACCCCTTTGGCTGGAGAGAGAATGAGAAAGAGAAGGGCCTAATGTCACTGATGAAAGGAGACAACCACACAAGAACTCTCAAAACGAAACTAGTTGGTTTCTCCAGGGGCACCTCCCTATCTCCCGTTAAGACGCTGACATGTCCTATAATTTATCCCTGGGGGTGGGGAGGTACAGGTGTCAATGGAGCAAAACTCCATCCAGAAAGCAAGCCCCCCCAGCCCTGCCTCTCCCCGTCGGGCATGGGCAAGCGGACCTCACAGGTAGACGTCAGGTCCCTAGTATGTCTCATGAGCTCTGCTCAGAATCGGGCACTGTGTGTTCCAGGTTCCTTTCTGTTTTCCTGACTTCTCAGCTCTTTGCCTTGGCTTGTGGGCATCACCATTGAAGGAGGAGGAGGGGAGCAAATGAGGCAGGGGTTTTGAGAAGAGGACATTGCCAATCAGGGTAAGGAGGTGAGCTCTTTAAGAGTCTTGACTTACTGTCTCCCAGTGTTAGAAGGGAACTTCGGGGCCCCGCCTCTACTAGAATCCCAGAATCCTCTCCAGTGTTCCTTGCAAGTTGTATCTTCCTGTGAACACTGCCAGTGCTGGGGGCTGGGTAGGAGGAGCTCTCACTCACCCTGGAGGCAGGACTTTGGTGACATTATCTCTGATAAAGGCTTGGTACCTACTGACCCTAGGTCTTTTCCCTGGAGCCACAGAGAACAATGGAATTCTTCCTCTGGGTGACAGTTCTTAAATTTTTTTGAAGACAGTTCTCATGCCCTCAGTATCTCCAGGGTAGACATTCTGGGTCCCTTCTAGAGTTCCTTGGCCATCCTACTTTCAGATATCCTCAGAAGTGCCCTGGGTTGCTTTTTATCAACGTGTGGCACCAGTCCTGAAGCCCATGCCCCTGAGATGGGATGGTGAGTGCAGAATGGGCCAGGCCGAGCCCACCTCCCTGGGTTTGGCCACCATGATCTGTGAAGCAGTGTAGATTTCCACTAACTGCCCCACAGACATGGAGCAGGTAATCTCTAGCCCATTCTTGACACCCACTGAGCTGTCAGCCAATTAAGTGTGAGGTGAGGGCAGCCAACCGCCCTCATCATCCTGGGGCTGAGGGGGTTCCTAGGATGCCTGAATTTTACTTTTAAAACCCAGACAGTCCCAGAGGTAGAACTTCTGGTGTAAAAACTGAGAAACTCCCAACCCAAGTCAGGCTGCTGTCCACCCTATTAAGGACCCTGGATCCTTTACACAAGTGAAACATGCACATCTGAGGCTGACAAAGCTCTCCCCCTGCTCTATCATTACGCCAACCAGGAAGCCAAGTTGGCCAACACAAGATTCGGGGCTACCTTCTTGGTGTCCCGGGTGCTGCCAGGAAGGGGTCTGAATGGAGTGATCTGACTGGACAGGGTGGAGCCCTGCACGGGGGGTTCCAGGGCACACTCCCAGCCCAGGCCCTTACCAGCTTGCCCATGCACTGCTGGGGTGCCAGGCCGTCCACACACTTGTGGTGGATGCTCATCTTACAGGCCTTGCAGCGCAGCCCGTGTTTAGCGTTCGTTCCTGTTGGAGAGACGGTGAGCTCTGGTTAGGCTACAACCTACTCTTTTTCCTGGTAACTGGTCTGAACTCACTGAAAAAGTGATTGGTCCCAGAACCCAGGCAGTTCTTCTGACTTTTGTATGAAGCTTTCAGAATGGACAAAATGTCATGGGAGATGCCATTCCCATTCTTCCACGTTTTTCTACTGAAAGTCTCGCCTCTGGTTTCCCTCCAGTCCTTCCCTGTTCATCCTCTAGGAAATCGCAGCCCCCTCTGCTTCCACTGTTTTCTCAATTCAAGCCTGCAAATCCTACTTTCTTTGCTCTTCATAGAGGTCACATTTCTGCTCTCCTGGAAGTCTTGCTGAGTAGTCCAAGTCCTGAAATTCTGCTCCCTTTTGCTGGAATTGCCATCACAGGGTTTGAACTGTTGGGCAGACTATCTGGAGAATGACCAACAAAGGGGGAACCGTGTGGTCTGCATGGAAGTGGGGCTGAGGATGCTCTTCAGTGGGGGAGAGATGGGAGTGACTGAGGACAGAGAATCACATAGGCAAGGCCTGCACTCCAAAAGCTTGTCAGGAAAAGGATGTGGGAATATTTCCTGTGGATCACATGTGGCTATGTGGAATGCTGCCCGAGAAGACCACCTTGAAAGGCAGTGGGAACCCCCATACGTCAGTGGAGTTGAGGAATTAATACATCCAGGTACCATGACACGTGAGGCCACAGGTCTCCCACTGTATGTACCACAGCTGACTACAGACACACAATGATGATACCCCAAATGGGGAACATCCACTCTCTTCACCACCACTGCCTTCTCATCAAAACCACCCCCATCCCTTGTCTAGACTGAATCTGGATTGAACTGCCTTCATCTGTTTTCCCCTCCCTCCAGCGTGTGTCGCAGAACCAGAGTTATCTACAGATGTGCTTGAATCCCCTCCTCCTCTTGCTTAGCCTCTCTCAGTGGCTCTGCCTGCCTTCTTGATGTTGCACAAAATGCTCACCACGGGGGCAAGACTTTGTAGGTTTCTAACTATCTCAGGCCAACCTGTCTTGTTCACTAGGGTCTAACCACGTGACCTTCATCAAGTTCTTTAAATGCACAAGCTCTTTAAACCCTCAGGGTCTTTACACACGGTGCCTGTGTGCCTGGAATGCTGTGTCCGTCACTCTTCCCTTGTTTCAATGCTCCTCGTGCTTTGAGGTTGCCCGTCATTTCGCCAGTGAAGCCTTCTTGGAGACAGTTCACTTCCCCCGTCTAACGTGTCTTTTCCTAGCACTCTGTTGTTATCTTTCATGGTATTTATCACAATGACTATTTGAGTTTGTTTTTGTCTGCCTTTTCCTCTGGATTATGAACTCAATGAAGCTAAGGATGGAATCTGTCCACTGTAGACCTGGCTCTGGGTATGAATAAATAAGTAAGTATTAAAGAAATTAACGAACCAATTCTTCTGTAGGCGCACACACACACTGAAGTCAGTGGTGACTGATTTAGATAATTAATTGAAGTTGATTTCATCGATGATGTAGAAATGGCATTCAAGAGCGAAAAGAGGACTTGCAGATCATCTCTATGATTTTATTTCGCAGATGAGAAGCCTGAGGGTCCAAGCAGCAAAATGACTTGCCTCAGGTTGGAGGTCCTGCCTGAAAACACCCTCCACAAAGGCAACACTGAACACAAACCACGTCTGCTGTTATAACCACAGAAAGGCCAAGTGACATAAAAACACACCATGAATTATCAGGTAGGTGTGCTTGTTCATAAATACTATCTGGAAAGTCTTTTTCTTTTTAAGAATAACCACTTAGCTGAACAATTGCAATGCCTTCAAAAGGCTGGACTTTGGAAGCAGTAACTTAATTTTTGTTGTCAAATAGAGAATGCTATTTGTGTCTTATGTGAAAATCTAAGTGAAAGCTTCAAAGAGGAAAGTTATTTCTTTGTGTGCAAGACTCTAAATAGAGTCATTATATATTACGGTATATTTTCCCTCAGACCTGAACACCATAATTTCAGTTCTCCTTGTTTGTTCTAATATACTCCACTGTATGAGTCAGACCACCAGCAATTACTCGGTTTTAGGTGTTCCAATTCCTACTCTGGAATAACAAGAGTGGCTGAAGAGGAAAGCTTGTATTCTGTGGCTCAGAGAATAGTTCAAAGGAAAAATTCACATCCCAGCAGTGGCATTAGGTTACTGTAGCAAGATGCGGAGCAGCCGTGGACCAACCTGTTGTATTACTACTGCCCTCTATCACAGAGGCAGCACTGAATGTGACCCTTGTGCCTCAGTAGGGTGGGAAAAACATGGTTTTAAATTTGAGTATCCCTCAGGCTGGCTCTTGAAACTTAAGGAAACTACTACCATTCTTGGAGCCTCAGCTGTCTCATTATCAAATGAGAACATCAGCAACTACTCTAAAGGTTGCTAATAGTAGCAGCATCATAATATATGCAAAGGGGATTGCAAGGGGTTAAATACTTGGAAACAAAGAGATCACTGGACTTCGAGTAAACATGGTGGACTGGCCACCCACTTAGTAAGAATTGCCCACTTATTCATACCCAAACCCCACTATAATTAGTAAGAGTAAAAAGATGATACAAATTCCAAATAACAAGGTTACTGGGAGGAGTGGTGAGAGTAGAAAAGCACGTACTTGGAAGACAGCAACCGGAGGTATGGTAAGCAATTCAGCAGAAGAGAGGATGGTTGAATCTCCCAAGAACAACTTGGAATATAGAAGGCCACAGGGCTTACAAAACTGCAGGATTTCAAAATTCTGAGAAAATGATTCCCAACCTAGAATTTTATATCCAGCCAAATTATCAACAAGTGTAAAGGCAGAATAAACAGCTATTCAGAGCTCCAAGAATTAAAAATATTTACTTCCCATGTACTCTCTCTTAGAAAGTTACTGAAGGATGTGCCTCAGAAAGATGAATAAATAAATCAAGAAAGAGAAAAATACCAGCTTCAGTGCACAACAGAAGACCTACCCAGAGGAGAGGTGAATGATATGCCCATATGACCACACTGTAACAGCCCTAGACGAGAGCCAAAGATGAATTAAGGGAGTAGACGTGGGGAAAAACATGGAACTTGAAAGTTTACTGGTACTTTTTTAGATCTGGATATTATAATAGACATGGCATTTGACAGATACATGGGAGCATATGGGGGAAAAAATCCCAATCATAGGTGCACGAAAAGTCCAGGAAATGAAAATAGAAAACTTGTGGAAGGAAAGAAACGTAATCATCGTACACTTCTTGATTTGGAAGTTAGCAGTAGTCATGATAGTGTATACACTGACCATTTAGTTAACACAGAACTGTGATAAAAAGACCTGGGAAGATGAGAGAGCAAGGGAGCAGCCAAGATTGTGACAGAACTCCTGCGGGAAGGTGAGATGGAGGAAGAGGGGATCAGGCACAGGGTGAGAGCTGAACCCTTCTCCTTGATAGCAGGATGCCAACCCATGTTTGCTTGGTCAATAAACAGTAGTAGAAGAGATTAGAAATACTGAAATAGATGCCAGAAGAAACCATTAAAGAGGATGAACGTGGTCATCTTTCAGAAGTGAGTCTGGGTTTTAGGATGACGCAGTTTCCCTGGTAGGTTTTTCAGTACCATCAGGACCGTCTTTAAACTCTTCTCACGTGCTACTGTGAAAACAGGCAAATAAAAAAAATGAAGTTGCTGGAAACCAGGTCAGGTCAACCCTTTCACATGATGTGGTCCTTGGTGTCTGTAGATACAGGGAAGGTATGGGGGCCAGCTGATCAGACACCATCAGTTCTTCCTTGGGATATGAACTTGTGGGATAGAGCTAAGGGAATTCTGTGAGTTACGGCTGAAAATTGATCAGAATGTGAGTTATGATATTGAGGTGGAGTTGGGAACGGATCATTGC